AACAAGTTAAGCATATTTGTGGAGAGTATTCAGAAACTTGCACTAATGCTCCATTTTGGATCCAATTGATACAAGTATTTCTGTTGATTTCAATGGATACTGGATCAGGCCACTTGGTTTCCAGGAACAAAATACTAGCCCCAGATATATTCAGAGGTACACTTAATATTGCAAAGCTTTCTGAGGAGAAGGAGAATCAGGCAGGGAATTTATCATCAAAAACAAAGTTTATTTTTTAATAACTATATAAAAGAACTGCACAGGAATACTGAGAAAAGAGAAGAGGCCCACCTTGGGAAAAAATAATCTGAAAATCATTTTTTTAAAACAGCAGAATGGATAGAAAGATCAGAATAAAACAGATTAACTTTTTAAAAATAGACAAAAAATGAAAAGTGAAAGAGCAGCAAGGAATAACATAAGCAACACTAACTAACCAGCTAGATATTTTATACTAGCAGGTGTAGATTTGTACAATAGAAAATGACAAGCCATGAATTATTTAAATTATTTCACCCTGGCTAACTGTTCAGCAACATGGAGAAAATATAACTAGATATTAAAAATATCATTTGCCTTTCAGGGATTTGCAGATTGCTAGATACCATGGGTCAGAAATTCTGCATTTTCCCATCTCTTTTGTCCCATTGTGACAGTGCAAAGTAAACTGGTCTCCTATGTGTGGGATTCTCCTGGCACAGGAGAGGCATAGAGAAGCCATCTCTCATTCTACTTTCCCTTCAACTCCTGGTACAGGGGACAGGAAGTAGTGGGAAGGATGCTTGACTGGGACGTGCTATGATTTGATTATCTGCCCTTTATAAAAAGGCCTTTAGGACCCCCTGCCAGCTGGCAGATTAGTTTGTATCAGAACCAGAAAAAAAAAGAAGGAACACAACCCGATTCATGGCAAATACTAACACAACAGACTGGAGTGGGGAAACTACCCCTGTATGTGCCGAGGTGCCATTCATGTAATAAACTGGAGCAGGATGGAAAAAAACTAAATATACCCAAGGTAAATGTATGTATTCCATATCTATGCAATATATCATAGGCAGCTGATTACCTGAAATGATCACGTGTTGTTTCCTGACTAATCCATCTGTGTGGATTTTTTTTATACTGTTCCAACCCCTGCCCCTCCTCGCCCAGCGGGTATCAAATGCAATAAACAAAATATCCAATCAAAATGTTCCTGGTGTCACAAACGTGGATTTTTCCTCCCTAAATTACTCTAACCCAAGGTCCAGGATGAGCTAATACTGCTTTTCTAGAGAGAACAATATCACTACTTAATTAAAATTCAATATCTTCTATCCTTGCAAGGCTAGCAGGATATGCATTATACCATTTTGAATGGGGGATTTCCCCATATGGGAAACTGCTCATAAAAATCTCAATTCTAATCCACATCATACCATTCTATAGGGCATGCACATGAGCATGCACATACACACACACATTGCACTGAAATAGTCTTAAAGGAAACTGATCAAACACCAGATTGGCTGACCTGCTCGACAGGGCTTTAAACTAAGCCCACTGAGGGATGGGTGGATAACCACTAATGCAAGCCCACTAGGCAACTACTGCATAACCAGCAGGCTAAGGCACCCAAGGGAATCCACACGTACCCCAGCCCTGGAACCATGTCTGCCTGAGAGTGCAAGGAAGACTAGGGCTTCCAATGAGACACTTATGTATCTGTATACCAAAGCCAGGAGCTTAGGGAGCAAACAGGAGGAACTTGTCCTCCTGCTAAGCAAGAAAGACTACGATCTCATAGAGATAATGGAGACCTGGTGGGACTCCACCTATGACTGGACCACAGGTAGAGATTGCTATACCCTGTACAGGAGAGATTGTGCAGATAAAAGGGTGTAGCTCTCTATATCAAGGAAAGCAACACATCCCTGCAAATTGACACTGGCACCCAGGGAGGATGACTGGAGTCCCTCTGGGTTAAAATACATGGGGAACGTGGCACAGGGGACATCATGGTAGGAGTCTATTACAGACCTCCTAGACAGAAACAAGAGCTGGACCAGGAATTCACCAGGGGACTGGCTGAGGCTGCACAATCTCAGTGCCTGGTTGTCATGGGAGACTTTAACTACCTGGACAGCTCATGGGAAAAGCACTTGGCTAAATCCGAATGGTCACAAAGCTTTCTCACATGTGTGAACGAGCTCTACCTGACCTCCTATACCTAAAAAAAGAGACTTATAAAGGATGGAAGGCTGGAATCACCACCAAGGAGGAGTATTCAGCACTGGTCCATGCCTGCAGGGAGTGGACCAGGAAAGCCAAGGCTGCAACTGAACTCCATCTGGCTTCACATATCAAGGATAATAAAAAGTCCTTTTTCAGATACGTAGGGAGTAGTTAGATATGTGAGGAGCCAGAGGAAAAGCAAGGGTAACATTGGACCCCTGCTAAACCATATGGGTCAACTGACAACCGATGCCTAGGAAAAAGTCAACCTGCTTAATGGGTATTTCGCATCAGTCTTTCATCAGCTCAAAGGGACCACCCTGCTTAGCATGATGTGGGACGGCCAGGGTGAGGGCGTATTTATACCCAGCATCAGTGTAGACCTTGTAAAGGAATCCCTTGAGAGGCTGGACATCTTCAAGTCAGCTGGTCCTGACAGATTACATCCTAGAGTACTCAAGGAGCTGGCAGGTGTCATAACCAACCACCGGCAAAAATATTTGAAAACTCATGGCACTCAGGTGAAGTACCTGAAGACTGGAAGAAGGCCAACGTGATACCCATTTTCAAGAAGGGGCGGAAAGTAGATCCCAGGAATTACAAGCCAATCAACTTGACCTCAATCCCCAGTAAGATTCTGGAGAAAATTATCAAAGAGACCCTTCTTGATAAGCTGGTTGATGACAACATTCTGAGCGACAGCCAGCACGGGTTTCTCGTGGATAGGGCTTGCCCGACCAATCTCATCTCCTTCTATGACCAGCTCACATATCACCTGGACAAGGGAGAAGAGATTGACATTATGTATCTGGACTTTTAAAAAGCCTTTCATCTGGAGTCCCATTACTTTCTCATGGAAAAATTGGCCAACTGTGGCCTCAGCTACACCACAGTCCGCTGGCTGGGAAACTGGCTCTGAGGTCAGACCCAGAAAGTAGTAGTCAATGGAAGTGAATCAGCATGGCACTCCATGACCAGTGGTGTCCCTCAAGGCTCTGTCCTTGAACCAGTTCTCTTTAACATCTTTATCAATGATATAGACATTGGTGTCAGAAGCGCATTGGCCAAGTTCCCCGATGACACTAAACTTTGGGGCATAGCATCCACACCTGAGGACAGGCTAGTGATCCAGGCTGATTTGGATAAGCTTAGTAAGTGGGTGGATACAAACCTGATGACGTTCAATACAGATAAATGCAAAGTACTCCACCTTGGGGAAAAAAACCCACAGCATGATTTTAGGCTTAGCGGTGCTACGCTCACTAGCACCATGGCTGAAAGAGACTTGGGTGTCATGACTGACCACAAGATGAACATGAGCCACCAATGTGATGTCACAGCTGGTAAATCAAACAAAACTCTGGCTTGCATCCGTTGATGCTTCTCAAGTAAATCTCAGGATGTTATCCTCCCGCTGTACTCAGCCTTGGTGAGGCCACAGCTGGAGTACTGCATCCAATTCTGGGCTCCCCAATTCAAGAAGGATGCCAAGAAGCTTGAGAGAGTCCAGAGGAGAGCCACACACATAATCAGAGGGCAAGAGAATAGGTCTTACGAAGAGAGGCAGAGAGCCATGGGACTCTTCATCCTGGAAAAGCACAGGTTCATGGGAGACCTGGTGGCTGCTTATAAGTACATAAGGGGTATGCATCAGGATCTGAGAGAACCTCTGTTCACCAAAGCACCCCAAGGGATAACAAGGACTAACAGTCATAAACTCCTCCAAGACTGTTTTAGGCTGGACATAAGGAAAATGTTCTTTATGGTCTGAGCCCCCAAGGCCTGGAATAGACTCCCTCCAGAAGTGGTGCAGGCCCCTACTCTGGACACATTCAAGAAACTTTGGATGCTTATCTTGCTGGAATCCTTTGACTCTAGCTGACTTCTTGCCCCTGGGGCAGGGGGCTAGACTTGATGCTCTCTCAAGGTCCCTTCTGGGTCTCACAGGCCCTGAGCTGCAGGAGGTCTGGTCCTTCCCTTGATGGCAGTGGCACCCACCCCTCTGCCCCAGAACTGCCCAGGCAGGGTACTAGTGGGTGGGTGCTGCCAGGGGGAGGGAGGGTGGGTGCCACCACCATGGAGAGAAGGACTGGGCCCTCCTGCAGCTCAGGTCCTGCAGGCAGCTTGCTCCCTGGCCACAGGAGAGGTGGGCAGGCTCTAGGTGGTAAAAAAGAAAAGAAAAGGAAAAAAAGGATTGGGCCCTTCACTTTTGTTTTTTTCCTGGCAGAGCCTGCCCACAGTGGAGGGGTGGAGGGAGATAGGGGAGAGGGGGATGAGAGATAGTGGGCCATTGGCCATCACTGTTCTGTCAGTGACAGACATCCCTAAATTGAAACGGTGGGGTTCTGTGTCAATTAAAAACCCACCATTTCAATTTAGGGAGAACTGAACCCCTGTCATGTGTACAAGTAGCCTAAGTGATTAGCTGAACACTACATATAGAGATGATGTGTATGAGCATGTGTATTGCCCCTGTTTTGGGTTGTTTTTTTTGTGGGGGGGTTGTTATATGTGACCATTTGATAGATTATAGGGAAATGGGAGAATCAGTATCACTATTCTAAAGGCAGACAACTCTATGTTTGTTTTCCAATAGTGTCACAGAGCACTGAGGTGCCCTGTGCCTGAAGAGGGGAAAACTGCTAGGGAAGGAGCCCTAGCAGTGACTAAGGAGCAGAGCTGTGGGTTTCCGGGGCAATCAGGGAAGGTCAGCTGACCAGAAGGGGAAGGGCCTTGCCCTTATAAAGCCCAGGAGTGGAAGCCAGAGGCAGTTCCCTGCCAGCAGCCAGAGAGGCAGGAGCTTCCTAAGCCAAGATGCCAGGAGAGGCCTAACTGCAGGTATAGCTTGACTTGAGTTGAGCATTGTTGCTTTACCTGAGCAGCTTTAAGTTATGTTATAGCCTAGGGGCTTGTGTGTTTTGCTTTGTTGTTGTTATAACCGGTGGTTTGGGTGAGGCTATTAGGGGTTGTAGGAGGCCTCATGGGGGACTTACAGAGGAGTGTGAGGACCCCAGCACCAGTGGGTGCAGCATACGGGGTGCATAGACCCCAGCCCCAGAGAGGGGCATTTGAGAAGCCCCAGGGTGGGTGGCGAGCCCCAGATAGGGGGCAGCATTACTAGGAAGCCCAAGTGTGGGCACGGTGAGCCCCAGGCAGGGGGCAGCATTACGAGGAAGCCCAAGTTGGGCACAGCGAGCCCCAGGCAGGGGGGCAGCATCATTAGGAAGCCCAAGTGTGGGCACAGCGAGCCCAGAGAGGAGGCAGTATTATTAGGAAGCCCAAGTTGGGCACGGCAAGCCCCAGATAAGGGGCAGCATCATTAGGGAGCCCAAGTGTGGGCACAGTGAGCCCCAGAGAGGCGGCAGTACCATTAGGAAACCCAGGTGTGAGCACGGAGAAGGAAGGCCCAGAGAGAACAGGAAGGGGCCAAAGAGGGATAGAATTGAGACAACAATGATTCCATCGGTGAGGTGTGGACTGCAGTGTAGAGGAGGAAACGGAGCCGCAGATAGCACCCCCTAGCAGCGGGGCAGTATAAGGGCAGCCTCCCGCTGATTAACACTGATCAATTAATTAAGAACAAGGTGTGGCAGGTGAGTAGGTGGGCGGTTGCCCCAGGGACAGGTAGGGGCCACGTTTAGGTCAGCCCAGATCGTGTACCTGTCATAAATAGGTTACTTATAACCTATAGCTACTGGTATACCTAGCTGACAGTTTTTCATTTGCATCAATTCTGTCCAATAAGCAGAAATATTTGCAACATCTTAACTAACAGAAATTCTCTATGTGACTTTACAAACACCTCTATCTTTTCTTCCCACAGCCATCAAAATCCAGAAATAGAGGGCAAGTCATTCTCTTGCCCTTGACTGAGAGATTGTCTGTTAGCAGTAGCAGTTTTCAAACATAACACTGTTACACTACTTACTTCTGGTTGTCTATGTACTTTAGCTATCTCAAAATCCATTCTGGAATACGTATTGATTTCTCTTTAATCTGAAGGGCATCACTGTAACTCTATGCTTCAACAACCACATAACTAGATCTGTAACACAAAAAGATATGTAGAGGCATAGTCATGCTCCTGACAGTATGGTGGACAGAAATTTTCAGACTGTACTTTTTAAATTATTTGCAACCAAGGAAAACTAAATGAGAACAGAGTAGTCAAATACAAGAAAAGGAAGGAGCCTGGAAATAATAGACACCATTAGAGTAGCAAAGTGAAAGGAAATGGATTATATTTCTGAAGTCCTTGTAACAAAGATTGAAATAAAAACAGAAAACAACACATGAAATCACCTGGTACTATCTATATCTATATAGTGTGTGTGTGTGTGTGTGTGTGTGTGTGTGTGTACACATACATATAGATACATAATAGAGGTGTACAAAACAGGCCATATTCAATTTCAATTTGGATTCAGATTCAGCCCAAATTGAGGACAGTGAGTTGATTCATTGATTCAGATCACTGTCCCTGATTTGATTTGGCCAAATCTGAAGATTCAATGCTGATTCAAAGAATCAGCAATTCAGCCATAGACACGGCTTTAAATGTTTTTTCTATATACCTTGAGGTACCAGGCACAGCTCATGAATGCTGCAATGCTGGGGCAGATGCTATGCCCCAAAAGAACATAGGAGGGCCCCTGCATGTTCAGTGGCAAACCCAGAAGTGAACCAAAAGTACTTCTCCAGTTCAGTGGACAAGTGCACTGGGGAGCCCCCCATGCTCCTGTGGAACACTCCATGCACCCCACCATAGCAAAATTCACGAGCCACCTCGTACCTTGCGGTATGAAGAAAAAACATTTAAAGCTGTGTCTCTGTCCAAACTGTTGAAGCTTTCTGAATCTCCCCGAATCAATTTGGAGGGTTCCGATTTGATTTAGAGAGATTAAAGGGTCTCCTGATTCAATTCGGATTCAGAGATTCGGCCACTGAATTGGGCCGAATCAAATCAGGGACCAAAACTTCACAAATCCCTAATAGATAAATCAATACACCAACCAGTGAAATGCTTTTAACTCTGGGAATGCAATAATTTTACAAGGGTTGGGACTATACAGCTGCTTAAGACTCTTAGCGAAGAATAATATGTCCAATAAAATCCAGAAGAAATAAAGTTAGGTCAAGATGTAATTACTGAAGCTGGAACTTCCCTCTACATCAGGGGTTCCCATACTGTGTTACGTGTAACCCTTGGGGTACACAAGACATATCTGGGAGGTATGCTGAATAAATTGTGTAATTGCAGATTTAATTTTCGTTATACTGTAATACTAATTGATATTTAAGGGGTTAAAATACAAAGCGTATGCTGGTAGGGGTACATGGGCAGCTGGTAAGTCTGGAAGGGGGTATGCAAGAAGAAAAAGCTGGGAACCTCTGCTCTACATAAACAAAATGTTGGGATTGCATATTTAAATATAATCTGCCACTTTAAGGGCTGGGTCAGGTATCCAGCAGGTGCCTGATGGCGGCAGGCATTTTGAGAACCGAGTACATAAAGGCTGCAGTCTGTTGCTGCCAGCCAGGCAGAAACATCGCCTAGCTGAGCTGCAGCAGGGAGAACCCTGGAGGTAAGGGCAAGAGCTTATGGGGATAGATAGGAGGTTCCTGGTCCTCAGCATAACCTAAAACTGCACCCTGCCAGGGATGGGTGGCCTGGTGGGGCTCCGGGTGGCATGGGAGTCCCCAGGAAATGCCAAGCCAGTTACCACCCCAGTGAAAGGTGGGTTGGGGCACCTTAATAATCCCAGCTCCCACAACTGGGTGGCTTACCCCATAGTAGGGCCAAGAAGGCAGACCCATGTTAGAGAGTGGGCTAGAGGCTCAGAAGTCTGACTTGAAACACCCTCAACTGGTCAATGCTGGGGCCAGGACCAGAAGGGTCAAAAGGGCCAGAGGCCCACCATGAGGAACACCCAGAGCTAAGGGCCTGGGGTTCTGACTGGCCTTGGAGACGAGGCCAGGGCCTGTGTGGCCAAAGGTCCTGGGGGGGCCACACCCAAGAGGGGGAAGATTTCAGGGAGCTAGGCAGCCCAGAATGAGGGCAGAGTAGGCTGCCTGATTAGAGGGATCCGGCTGGGGTCTGGATTGGAGGATTAGGGGGCCCAGTGTGGGGCCAGTGACATTAAGAACTATGATGCCATCTGTGAGGCTTGGGCTGCAGTGTAGGAGAGGAACAAAGCTGCAGATTGGACCCCCTGGCATCAGGGCAAGAATGAGCAGCCTCCCACCTAATTAACACCATAATTATGCATCATCAAGGTGTGGCAGGAGAGGAGGTGGGCAGTTAGCCCAGAAACAGGTGGGCGGGCCAATGGTAGACCAGGCCCTAGAGCCCCCTTATATATATATATATATATATATACCATGCACACACACACACACACGCACGCGTGCGCGCGCTATATTAATGCCCTGTCACATTGGAGTTACAAAATGCCATTACAGGACTGTTTAACAGAGATGGGGAGCAGTATGTAGAATATATGAAAATGTCACAGAATGGAATAGTTTAAGCCCCTCACAATTTCAACTTTATTCTAAGTTTACCAAAGATTTGACTAAGAAAGTATAATTTGGACAGACTACCATAATGGGAATTTTATGAAAAGCTATCTGTCTCTAATCTCCTACTGAAATAAAATATTCTTAGAATACTCTTCACTTAATGCAAAATGTCACCTTTCTTCGCTTCTCAAGTCAACTGAAATGATTCACTTTTGATCTTGTTTACTGATAGTTCCCATTAGTGATTTAAATATAGTTAAGTTTAAAAGCCTCTTGTTCAGCTCATTCTTTAAAAGCATTCATTTTAGTATATTATCATGTTCAGCATATTTCAATTCAGATTGGATATGTCATATGGTTTGAAAACTGGCTGAAGGACTTAAACAAAAAAAGAATAATAAAAACATCATGTTGGCCTGATAAATTATTAAACTGTTGTTATCCTCAATAATTTCTTCATCAAAAAAATCAATTAATGAAATATGCAGATAACTCAACTGGCAAGAATTAAAAATACCAACAAAAAGAGAAAAGCCATCAATGGGCTTTTTTAAATCAGGAAAAAGAAACAAACACAGAAACTCTACAAAATCAAATTTAGCTAATAAAAATACAAACTGGGTACAATAACTCTATATTCAATGGAAATGTAAAATCTAGAAAGCAATGATATCCTATGTGGCCTGAGGTCATGTTGAACAATAAACAGCCAAGATGTGAATTTTCAACATGATATCCTAGCAATAATGAATAATGTAGTTTTGATCTCTACATGCAGAGGCATCATGCATTGAGATGGTAATGTTATTTTTTGCTATGCAAAATTGTACCATGTAAACACCACCCTGTAAGGCAGAGTCACACAGCCCCAAGCAAAGCATCTTCTGACTTCTAGCCTACTGCTTACATATGTAGGAGACAGCAACGTCCATCTTTGTATATCTCTGTTCCAGCCACATTTAGAGTGCCACGTTCAGGTGTTGCCAGCTAGTTAGTACAATAACATATAGACAGTTTGGAGTGAGTCCAGAGGAAAGCAATGAAAAATGAACAGAGATCTGAGCTGAAAGTTGGTGGATGATATTCAGAGACTACTGTGTATAATTTTTGTAACATTAATGTGGAAAGGCTTAGAAAAATTATTAGTTTCAATGAAATAAAGTATTAGGGAGCAACAGCAACTGATATCTGAGGAAAGAGAGGTCTAAACACACAGCTTAGTTTATTGAACTTTCTGGATTACATTATCATGTGGATTCTGGGTTTAATACATTGAAAGGTGTAAATATAAAAACAGATAGGGAATATTTAAAATGATAGAAAATCTGTATCTAGAAAAGAATGATCATAGTTAATAATCTGTAAAGGCTAAAGAGTAATATAAATCATCTGCATAAGACAGGCTTTAGGACTTCAGCCAATATACTCACAGTTGGGGTTGAGGGGAGCAGGGAGGATTACTCTTCCCTGTGTGCTTATAAACTATGATCAAGTTGCTGTTTAATATTAACTTCACGGAGCTAACTATATTAAACTACTTATATATCTCATTTTTATGTTGCTTTCCAGACCCTGAATAAGTTTTAGCTCTTCTCTGAATTTTGTCTACATTTTCAATGTTGGTTTTAATTAAAACATTTGCTGATACTAATATATCAGAAAAAATGTATAGGAAATGAGAGAGTTTAATCTGTCAAACAGCCTCCCAAGAAAAAAAATACATAAAACCCTATCACAGAGGCATTTAAAATTAGATTTGAGAACCCAAGTAAGAGTAAACTAAGCAGTAATCTTGCACCAGCCAAGAGAGAGACTCGATGACCTCATAGGTCATTTCTTTCTCTAGTGCCTATAATTCAATAATTATAAAGAGCCAGAAACGTTCTATATGCGTTCAAAATGGTTAATTAAAAGCTCCGGCTAGGATCATGGCCTTTAAATGGCTCTTGGTTTCCTAGTTTTCAAACAAAATCTGATCCTAACCTTCTTCAACAGGAGACATCATTAGCTAAACTTTTTATTTTTCCCCAATTAGTTTCCTTGAGAAGTGCTTAGCAACAGTTTCTTCAAAAATATATGCTTAACCCTTTATATAAATAGTAGCTATAGGGGAATATTCTAGGACTTAATCATTTTACCAAATACAGTTATTTTTCATTCACAGCACTCTTAGTTTGTACAGGAGGGGTGTCTGTGTGTGTGTGTGTGTGTGTGTGTGTGTGTGTACATGCCTAAGTAACAACTCAGTAGAAACTTATTCCATAAAAAAGGTTGTCTGCATCTGAAAACTACAAGAATCAAAGGGCTTTATTACATGTTAATTTTAGGCAGGTCCTGGGGCTTTCAATGCCTGGATTATCCATGCGACCCCTGAAACTAGTTTTAAGCACTCTTTGGGCACATCTACACGAGATGCTTTACTGCACATTAGACTAATCAAATGTGCAGTAAAGTGTCACCATCTACATATGTGCGGGACTTACTGGACAGTAAACTAGGTTAATGCACCATTTGCTAGTACCAGGAAATACAGGTACTAGATTAACAGTGCATTAGTTACTGTGCAATAGTACACGAGTAGACACTGACCAAAAGCAATTTGTTTCTGGTCATCACAGGTAGTAGGGGCCCTGCTGCTGCTTCTCTAAGTCCTGATGCAGCGGGCCTTATCCCCAAGTGGCCAGGAGAGCTGTCCCAACAGCCAGGACTGCTGTGTCTCAGCCACATAGAGACTGAGTCTCTACCTGATCACTATGTGGCTGATAGAGCTGCCCTGGCAGCTGGGACTGCTGCATCTCAGCCATGTGGAGATTGGGTCCTAACCCACTCCCCACATAGCTGGTAGAGCTGTTCTGGCAGCCAGGCCTGTTACATCCCAGACACATGGAGATCAGATCAGGACCTGCTCTCCACATGGCTGGTAGAGCTGTCCCAGCAGCTGGGACTGCTACATCCTAGCCATATGCAGATCAGGCCAGGACGCAATCCCCATGTGGCTGGGAGAGCCATCCCCAGTCAGCTGGTATAATTTAACCCCATTGCTTCTTGTCCTATTTGAATAACACTGTTAGCATTCAACAGGATCTTAAAATATTTAAAAACTGCAGACTGAATTACATATAGCAAAATCCATGAAAATTGATGATCTTTTCCCATGATGGTATATTTCAACAAAGCCTTACAATTTGGCTATATAAAGTTCACTTTATAAAAATAAACACATCCCTAGATCTAAGAATTAAGTGTGCAAACCTGCCTTTGATCTACATCCTTAAGTTGCATTTGACCAACAAATATCTTCGGCAACTTCACCTTCTTCCATAATGGAGGAAAGCTTGCCTTTAGCTAAACCACCTAAATAATTTGCTAGAAGTATCATACCACACTGGCACCCAGTTAGTTGAATTAGCACAAGTAACAACACCAGCAAAGGAAAAAAACCCAGCACTTTAAGTCCAAAGTCTAAGAATCTTCCCATAGTTCAGAATCTCACTCATGGAAAGTAAGGCTGAAGATGGAAGTCTTCTGAGAGTGACATGCAGGAATTTTTCAAATGGTTAGGTAATAAAGAAAGGGTGGAACAATAATCAGGCAGGGATATAGATAGTTAGGGCAGAGAGGAAAGGATTCTTATTCCTTGTACTGAAAAGAGATTTAGAGGATGTATGCACTGGGGAAACCCAGATAGAGCCAGGTTGGATGTTCGGTAAAAAAAATATGATTTTTTTTTTTTCTTCTCCTCGTAATAACAGTAATAATTTTGCCAACTTATTCACAGGATAAAAAATTGATTCTCCTTGTTCTGAAGGAAAGTACGGTCAGGTTTGGCAACAGTCCATTTCTTTCAAACCTGTTATGTTCTATATTAAAACTGGTTCAGTACATTTTAATTTTAGACCTTGTTACACAATTTTTATTTAAGGATCTTGATCTTTCTTCCTGCTAGTTCCTGTAATCTTCCGTTATACTGGCTTTTTTGGAATGATGAAAAAAAGATTATTCTGCCACCAATGTGTTCTTTAACTGCTTCAAAAATCAAAACCCGAGAACAATAATAAGGATATTTATAAGTAACCTATGAAAGAGGATTATGACAAAAGTGGTTTCTAAGGGTTACTATATCCCCAAGGGAAAATATCTTCTCTCTGGGAAAATGGGGTGTGAGGAATATATGCCACTGGATTTATACTATCTTTGCAAACTGCAAAAATCCTTTATTAGTTAAATAGATTGTGTGACAATAATAGAATCAGAAACCTCTTTGCAAAATTATGTGGATATTAACAGGATAGTGCAAAAGAGTTTACCCCTGCTACAATCCAGGTAAAAGGGCACATCATTGTATGCCCACCTCTGTTTGATTATCCGCTCCCATGCAGCTCTAGCCCATGTGCCTGGTTTCGGGTGTGATGAGATCCCATGCAATCCTGGAGAAGCCCCTCGGTCACTCCTGGCGAAACCCCGAAACTCCATGACTTTGGATGGGTCTCCAGTGGAGAGGATTCCCGTTGACAGGACCTCTGGGATTGTCACTTCTCCCGGCAGATGTACACAGGGCTCCACCTCCCCTACACACCATCCATATGCCAGCTCTTGAGGCAAGCCCCAAGATCTTTATGTGGCTTGCCCGCCAGTAGTGTCAGTCCCAGATCTTCATGCTTCTTATGCTCTTGTCAGTCCAGCCTCCCCTTCTTTTTTTTTTTCCTTTTCTCTTTTTTTCTAAGCCAGGGATTCTGGCTGTTCCGCCTTGCCCCAGCCAGGTTCTTCTGTGGCTCCACATTGAGCCGCCTCAAATCCCGCATTCCTGTGCTGCTTGCCGCTGGTGCAGGATGCTTCCCCTGATCCCATCGGTGCTGATGTCAGCCTCCGCGTCAGGTCTTCCTGCTCTTGCCGGTGCTAGATGCACTCGGCGTGGGGGATCCTCGCCACTCCTCTCACTCCTGGCATTCCCATCACTCTCTTTCAGAGCCGGCTTTTGAATCTGCTGGGCAGCATCTCCCACTCCAGCTCCAGCTGCAGATAAGCACGACTGATAAACTGCGTGGGTCTTTCTCCTGTCTCCCCGGATCATCGGCGTTCTACAATGGGTAAGTTTTCTTCCTTATCAGGGTTTTTCTTTAGGGGTTGTGTTTCCCTTGTCCCGGGTTCCCTGATGGGTGGGGCTCCTCACTCCCTCATGCTTGGATCCCTGCGACACATTGTAAAAATTACATCAAATCTCCATATTTTATTGAATGAGAATTCCCTTAATGCAAGCCCTGGCATAGAGAACTAGGAGAAATGAGACAGAGTGGGATGTCCACAATACACAGTGGGTGCATCTACAGGAGACGCTCAACCGCACATAAGACTAATCTAATGTGCAGTAAAGCATCAGCATCTACACATGAATGGCATTCACTGCACAGTAAATTAGACTAATGTGATGTTTGCTAGTGCCAATGAATACAGGTACTAGATTAATGGTGCATTAGCTACTGCACACCAGCACGCATGTTAACACTGACTGGGAGCAATTTGCACCCAGTCAGCCGAGGCAGCAGGAAGCCACAGAGGGTGGTGGGAGAGATCTCTGTTTCCAGTCCTGGCTCTCCAGGAATAGGTGGAGAGCAGGAACTGACTGGGGCATGCACTGCATGGGCAGCAGAAGGGCTGAGGGGACAGAGAGACCCCCTCAGCCCTGCCACTGCCCACACAGTACATGCCCCAGTTGGCTCCTGCTCCCCACTTATACCTAGGGGGAGCTGGAAGCTGAACAGCACTGAGCCCAGCAGGGAAGCACGGAGGGAAGCAGTGCTGGGGATCAGAGGGGACACACAAGGGGACATGGCGCTGCTTCCCCTTTGCATCTCCCCACCAGTCCCAGCACTGCTTTCCCTCTGTGTCTGTCTCACCCTGAAGCCAGTGCTGCTTATCCTCACACTAGTGCATGGGGCATTGCCCCAAGCCAGTGCCTCCAAACTGGACTGAGATCCCACGCTCTGTGTGTCTGGGAGCTGTGCCTCTCCCCAGAGCCCAGGCCTGACTCCCGTGCCCCCTGCCAGCCTGGGGTTGGCACCTAGGGGAGCCTGGAGCTCCCCCTGGCTGCTGCAGGGGGTGGGGTATATCAGGGAAAGGGGGAGGAGAAACCCTGGACTGAACTGCTCTGAGGAGAAGCCCTGGACCATCCTTCCCCAGCAGGGTGCAGTTTCAGGACCAGGAGCCAACTGACATCCCCATAGCTCCTTCCCTTGCCTTCAAGATGTTCCAAGCAGCAGCTCAGCCAGGTGTTTGTTATTCTAGTTGCCAGCAGCAGACTGCTGCTCCAGCTCTGAGGGCCAGGGTTAAAATGAAGGCTGCTCTGCCCCCTCCTCTAATCCCAGGGCCCTCCTGGGGTCATTTGACTGCCTGATTAAGGCTATCCCACACTTGCAGGCTGCCCTGCTGCCTGTTCTCAAATGTTAAAGTGCCTGGCACTGAAGGTCACCATCTATATGTGCACAGTGCTTATTGTGCAATATATTATTCTAATGTGCCATTTTTTAGTACCTGTAGATACAGGTACTAGAAAAATGGTGTATTAAATAATGCACCATACTGCATGTGTAGATGCTGATGGGGAACAAATTGCTCCTGGTTAGCCTAGGCAGCAGGGGCCACAGGGGTTATGGAGAATTGTTCCCACTTAACAGGATGCTGCCTGCCAGCCACATAGAGATCAGGATCCATCCCAATCTCCACATGGCTGGGAGATCTTTTCCTACCTCCATATGGCTAGGAGGCAGCTGCCCAAAAGCCAGGACATCTGTCCCTTCCCTATGGAGATCAGGACAGGTCCTGATCTCCACATGGCTGTGAGACAGCTTCCCGGCAGCCAGTACATCTCTCCTAGCCACAGGGGGACCAGGACAAGCCCCAATCTCCAAGTGGCTGACAGACAGCTGCCCAGAAGCTAGGACATCTCCCCCCACCATTTGGGGCCTGCCCAATCTCCCCCCAGCTTGGATGGAGCTTCCTGCCAAGCCAGGACAGCTCCTCCCCAACCTTCTGAAGTTTGAGGATAAGCTCCTGTGCCCCCTTCCAGACCAGGTCTGGCACCCTGGGAGCCTGGAACTTCCCCTGGCTGCTGCATGGGGCCAGCATCCCTGGACTGGGCTGCTCCTGTCAGGCTCAATTTGCTCCCAACAGGGGTGCACATATAGATGTCTGCCAGGGAGCACTTTGAGTCTGAAAATTCTGTACAGAAAATTCAGGCATGCTAACTGCACATGTAGGCACACCCAGTGCTAGAAATCTCTAGTTCCAGTATAGCCTTAATGGCAGTCCTTTGGGACTGCCTTTCTAAGTGACACAGAGAGCATCTCTTGTCCCCCAAAAGTCTAGGATAACAGGGCCACAAAAGTGACTTAAAGGTACTTTTGCTTTCTTCCCCATAGGCTGCATGTGCACTAGACATGAAGTACAGAATCTCACCCATGAATCATTTCTTAAATTCACCACCAATATGCAGCAGAAACCCTTAAGGATGTCTCATCCCAGATACTGATTAACCTCTGAAGAAATCTGAACAGTAAGTCTGTGCACACATACTCAAATAATCTGGGAGAATTCTCCCAGGTTTGTTCTCCTGGTAAAAAAACTTACCCTGAGATGCCTGAACAGACATTCCAGTGCTGGGCCCTTGAAGAGCATAGAGCTTGCAATGGTGATGCTGCACATCCAGGGGAACATTGTGCATGGATCTCAGAGTGCTCTGCAGGCTCCCTCATTCTACTTGGTGACAGATGGCAGCAATTCACAGAGCAGACCCAAAGTACTAAATGACTGCTCAGTAACTGCCAGTTCTACACAGTCCTGGTTCCACAAGGGACATTTCATAGTATCATAGTACTTAAGGTCGGAAGGGATGGACCTACACAGATCATCAGGTCTTACCTCCTGCCCTGGGCAGGAACAAATGCCAGGACCATATCACCCCAGCCAAATATCTTTCCAGCCTCCTCTTGAAGACCCCCAAGGTAGGAGAGAGTACAACATAACTTGGGATCCCATTCCAGAGCCTGGCAGCCCTAACTGTAAAGCAATGTCTCCTGATGTCCAGCCTGAACCTTCTCTCTAACAATTTCTGGCCATTATTCCTAGTAACCCTGGGTAGTGCCCAGATGAACAGAGCCTCCCCCAATTCCCGCTGGTCCCCCCTGGTGAGTTTGTAAATGGCCAGCAGATCCCCTCTCAGCCTTCTCTTGTGGAGGCTGAATAGGTTCAGACCCTTTAGCCTCTCTTCATATGGCCTGCCACACTGCCCCTTGACCATGTGAGTAGCCCTCCTCTGGATCCTCTCAATGGTAGCCACAGCCCGCTTGAAGTGGGACACCCAAAACTGGATGCAGTACTCCAACTGTGGCCTGAACAATGCTGCATAGAGGGGAAGGATCACCTCCCTGGACCTGCTTGTGATGCATCTGTAGATGCACGACAAGGTGTGGTTAGCCTTACTGACCGCTTCCTTGCATTGGTGTCTCATGTTCATCCTGAAGTCAACAATGACTCCAAAATCCCTTTCTGCCACCATGTTAACAAGAAGGGTCTTCCCCAGCCTATAGGTGTATTGCTGGTTCCTTCTCCCTAGATGCAGTACCTTGCACTTGTCTGCATTGAATTCCATCCTATTCTCAACTGCCCACCTCTGTAATTTGTCTAGATCTAGTTGGATTCTATCCCTCCCCTCCAGCATGCCCACCTTACCTCACAGCTTGGTGTTGTCAGTGAATCTGGACAGCATGCATTCCACACCCAGATCCAGATCACTGATAAAGATGTTGAACAGGTTTCCAACCCTACTGTGCAGTAGCAATGAGCTACTGTGCTACCGTAGCTACTATGTAGTAGCTCATTGCTACTGTGAAGTAGTGTTGGTGTCACAATTCATGCATGCTGATGCTATATCACTATAGTGATGAGCTATGTTGCCATAGCTCATTCCTATGGCAACATAGCATCTTGTGTAAATGCGCCCAGTGTGTCACTTGCTGGATTCTGCTGCAGAGTAGAACACACCCCCTTCACAATCCCACATTGTGCTTCAGGGGGAGACAGGCTGACTTTGATCAGACTGGGTCAGCCAATCAGGTCTGCTCTGTGAACTGTTGCCATCTGTCACCAGGCAGAATGAGGGAGCCTGCAGACCACTCCAAGCACTTTGTTTTGCATATTTTCTGCTATAATATACAGCTACATTAATAGACACAAGTGGTAAAAATGTGCAAATTGAGGCCCTTATACCATATACTCTTAGAGGATATGTATTCTGCTTACTGCAGGGTAGTCAGAGATAACCAAGGTACTACTACTTTAGCAAGTACTAAATGACTGTGCATTAATCTCCAGTACTGCAGTCCTGGTGCCACATAGGATATTTCCAATCCAAGCAGTCATTTAGTATTAGTACTTTAGCAAGTACTAAATGACTTCTTGGGTTGGAAATGTAGTAGTACTTCAGCAAGTACAAAATGACTGTGCAGTAACAACTGTGCAATCAAGCGCATGTGTAGATGCACCTGCTGTCTCCTTGTGAGGATGGAGGGGGAAGGCAAAGCATCCTGGAATGCTGAAGGATTATGCAATGGCTTATCTTAGAAGACAATATATACAGACTGCCCGCCTCTCCTGTGGCTAGAGGATTATGCAATGGCTTCTCTTAGAAGACAATATGTACAGACTGCCCGCCTCTCCTGTGGCTGGAGGATTATGCAATGGCTTCTCTTAGAAGATAATATGTACTCTCCCAAGAGAAACTCTCCTGGGAGTGATTAAATACAGGTTATATTTCTTCTGGAGTAGTCATTTTTTCTCTGTGAGAAAAATCCTGAACATCCGTATTCTCATTCTTTCTCCCAGGAGAGCAGGGACTCTGAAATGTCTGTATGTGACCTAATAAATTAGCTATTCTTCTCACACTTTCCTTTGCAAACATTAAAGCATAACACTTTTTTTCCTCCATGTACAGTTTTCAGATTTTCTACACTTACGGTAGATTTAAATTATATGATACTGTCTTCCATACTTTTGGTGTTTACTATGTTCATACATTAACAGAGATAGTATCTGTAACTATCTTCTTTCAGACTCTTCTGAGCAGAGAATTTGTTTTGTTATCAAGCTAGAAATGGGGCTTCATTCCTGTTAGGTAGCATAGAGGTGATCACAGTGCAAATAATAAAAAATAATAAAAACACAAGAATTCCATTGAATTAGAATATTAAAACTTGACTTCAAATACATGATTGGCTGCCATAAACAAGAACAAGAACACCCTTGCTCTCTTGCTGCAGAGAGCAGAATGTGGTCAAGTATCTTAAAGTTATAGCAAAGTAGGTTAAACTGGATATCAGGAAAAACTTCTTCATTGTTAGAAGTTAGGCAATGGAATTGACTGACTATGGAAATTGTGGAATCTCCATCATTGGAGGTATTTAAGAAGAGGCTGGATAAGCATTGGTCAGGGATGATCTAGGAGTAGCTATTGTGTGCTATGCCATGGGTATTTCCCAAGCTTCTGGGTTTTGCTGGATGCTGCATTGGGCTCATAAGGAATCCCGCCCCCCTTGTTGCTAAATGTGACAGGTAGGTTTGTGGGAGGAGGGGAGGTTCACCATCCTTAGAGCCATTGGGTGTTGGCTACAACCAAGGCTGAGGATTTTGACTAGGGTGTGCCAATGCTGCTGCTGGAACTAAAACCTGGAGTATCCTAGCTAGAGGGACAACTTAGGGTCAGACCAATTGCCACATTTGGGGTCAGGAAGGAATTTAACTCCATGGTCAGATTGGTATGCACTGTGGAGGTCTTTGCCTTCCTCTTTAGAGTAGGGGGCATGGAACTCTTCCTTGGATCCTTCAAGTTTATTTTTAGCAATCCTTGCAGCAGCACGATACTGACCACTGTTAACCTGCTTTGTCTGTGGTAATTTAGGGTGCTATGGCTTGTAGTTGTGTGATAGGGTAGTGTGATTTGTGTAGTTTTTGTAAAAGATTAGACAAAGTTTTCTATGGGATAGTTTGGATAGGAATGATTCTGCCTCAGGCAGGAGACTGGATTAGATTACTTCTGGAGGTCCCTTCTATAATCCTATGATTTTACGACTGAGAATAGAGCATATAATATTTTCTACAACAGAGTATGTGCAATAGGTCTTTATTTATTGTTTTTGAAATGAAATGACATTGTGCCTGTCACAAAATGTGGAAACATATTTTTTAACATTTATTCAGAAATATAAACAATTCATTTAAAAAAGAAGAGAATCCACTTATTTACTTTAAGAGGAGGATAATTAGCATAAAAGCACATTTAAATATTAGAGAGTTGTTCAAATGAAAAAGCAAATATTAGTTTTATTTCACAATAGGCTAGATTGCATGTAGCTCTGCATTACTGGAGCTAAACTGCTTGTAGTACCTGAGTTAGCTCAAAACCTTAGCTTGTAACCTTGGTTATCTCTGACTACCCTGCAGTAAGCAGAGTACACGTCCCCTAAGAATCTATAGTATAGGGGCCTCATTTTGCACATTTTTTCCACTTTGTCTATTAATGTCATTGCATATTAAAGCAGAAAATATGCAAAACAAATTCTGGACCTTGTCATTGGCATTCAATATAAATAGCTTAATAGAAAGCGTTATTTTGTTTTATTTTTAAATCAAACTGAAGCAGTGTTTCAAAAACAAATTAAACAAAAATTGTAAAAACAGTGGAACTAGCAACCTAAGGAAATTATAGGATCTCCTTCACTGAGGAGAATGGATGGACAGCAATCAGGGGTGGTTTGGGATTATTGTGGCAGAGCACTGGTAGTGGCTGCCACTTTAAGGACTGGGCCAGGGCGGGGCATGTGCCTGATTAAGGCAGCCATTTTAAGGCCCAGCTCTCTGAGCTGAGGGCAGTTCATGATCAGCCAGCAGAGGGGAAACATCTCTCTGCTGAGCTCTGCCAGGAACACCTTGGAGGTAAGGGTGAGGCTATGGAGATGGCTTGGAGGCCTCATTGGTCCTGAGCATGACCTAAAACTACACCCTGCTGGGGCACGAAGGCCTGGTGGGGCTGCTGGTGGTATGGCAGGCCCCATGTAAATACCAGGAGTGATCACCTCCCCGATGTAAGGTGGGTCGGGTGCCTTAACTTCAACTCCCACCTTCGGGTGAGTTTTATATAATGCAGGGAAGGCCAGGTAAGCTTTTTGAAGTGCCTGAGTCTGCTGGGGTAAGTGACCTTGCGGGCCCAGGCATGCTTTGTGAAGCACCTGAGCTGGAAATGGGGGACTCGAAACTCTGTGAGCAGGCAAGTGGCTTAGACTTGTCCTGAGGGACCCTCAACTGGCCCATGCTGGGGCCAAGACCCAAAGGGGGGGTCAAAGGGCCAAGATGGCCCACCATGAGAGATGCCCAGAGCAGAGTGCCTTGGAATCCTGACTGGCCTGAGATGGGGCTAGGGCCTAAGGAGGAGCTGAAGGTCCCAGAGTGGGGACCACAACTAAAGGAGCGAAGGGTACA